CCTTTCCAAGAGTTTGCAAGGTGGAACTTATCACATGTTTTTAGAGTTATAGTGATGGAGTTACAGTGGCCAGGTGCTTTGCATGTCTTATTGGTCTCCAGGCAATGGAGATGTAAGAGTCTCTATCTTTTCCCCATCTTGGAGCCCATGTTTTGAACCCTAGTAATGAATACACACACACACACACACACACACACACACACACACACACGCGCCTGGGTATAGCTCAGTGGTAGAACACTTGCTTAGCACACAAGAGTTTCTGGGTTCAGGCATCACCACCCAAATCTATAAATAATTAAACAGTAAACACAAACCCACCAAGGATAAGTCATGATTTGCCTGAGGATGTATGTGTCATGGTCTGCATTCCTTCTAACACATAGCTGTGTGCTGAAGAAGGCAAAGGTCACAGATCCCTCTCAGGCTTAGTGCTAAACAATGTCTGGCTACTGTGCACTTATACCACTTACAGATGTTAAGGACAGTATATACTGTCATGACTCATTGATGTTGTGCCTCTCACCCTTAGTATGACTTTCAAATTTGGCAGAGCTTCAGAGTTACACAGAGTAGCTATTAACCATGTAAGCTTCCAAGCCTACCTGCCCCTTAAAAACTGGGATAGGATGGAAAGTCTCTAACTTTTACTGGTTCCCCAAATGACTCAAGCCAAGTTTATCTTGGACCCAGTTGATACAGTCTTTAAAATTATATAAAGCTGAATTGAGTGTGGTGTCTCATGTTGGATTCCCAGTGCTTGGGCAGCTGAAGCAGAAGGATGGTCATTACGTCACAGCAAACTTGAACTGCATAATGATTTCTAAGCCAGTCTGGGCTACAATGTAAGACCCTAACAAACAAACAAATAAACAAACAACAAACCATATAAGGCTACTTTGCTCAATCTCATAACCACTAGTTAATATGTAGATATTTAAATTTACATTAATTAACATTTTTAAAAATTAAAATTCAGTGTCCATTCTATTATCCCTGTTTGAAGTGTCCAGTGTGACTAGAGGTTACCATATTGGACAGCCCGGCTAAAGAACATCACCATCATGGTACAGAAGTCAGTGGGGCAACACTGATGAATCTACACCAGTCCCTTGATTAACTTGTTTCACACAAAGATCAGGTGCAAATTAAAACTTCAAATAGCATTAAACAACTCACTAAGTCCAGAAATAAATGAATGGTGTCACCTGGACAATGGAGAGAGCTCTTGTCCTGCTGTGATGCAGCCCTCACATTGGCACCTCTTTAACCATCGAAGTCGCTAGCCTGGAAAATAAATGATGAGAGCTTGTTTCTAGCTGAATAGGTTTCTCACTTCAAAATAAAAGGATGGTTGGTTCGGGCATTCTGACACATGTGTCATAGTAATGTTAAGTGTTAAGTGAAAGTGGGTGCAGGGTAAAGACATATAATGATATTTCTCTGATACTTGTGCAATTTTTTCTGCACTGAATCTATGCCCTACCTCAAGGGCCTTAATAATGGGAAAGGCTGCTTTTAATTTAACTGGCTTCATATGTAATTTTTATTCCTCACCAGAATTTTTCTTACCTTTAGAGAACAGGAAAATGTTGGCAATTTCCTACTAAGGCTTAAGTTCTACTCTCAAAAGAGTTGATTGTCTCACAATTGAATTAACTGACCTATATAAGCACATTAAATACAACCATATAAGGAATCCCTAAAAACAACTTCTAAATGGGTCTTATTATCTTCTTGTAGGATTTTTAGTGCATGAACTTTTAACTGCGGCTTCATTACTTTTATATTTTATCATGGAGAACACCAAATTCATAGAAGATGCTATATTTATGGTAAATCGAATTTAGTTCACTCCTTTTGCACATTCTACTACATTGAATATTTTATACTCAATTAAATTTGCTTTACAAACGGAATACATTTATTTTTATGGCTTAATTTATATTAGAAGGCTTATTGAATTTTGCCCGAATAAATTATGAAATTGTTGAAAGCAGAAGTTCAAATTTAAAAATACATACACTTAAATGACATAGGAATGTTTACATAGCTCTTTACACATCAGAATATCTATGACTTATTGAAGATATAGTCTGTATTGAGCATGAATATAATGCCAGTCTTCACAACAAAGCAGACTCAAAAGGTACAGCTTTGAACATTTTTACAATACTTATTTTTATAAACTTATCTTTTATTTTAGCATCATAAAATTTCCAAGATTGAAACCCAGAGTTCTCTATCATTTCAGCTACCTAATATCTTAGAGTCACAAACTGAGCCTAGTCATAAATATACCAAAGCCAATAAAGTATACATTTGCTAGTAGACGAGTTGTCCCAGGGGAAAGAGAGCTATGAGAGATAATGCTTTTCAGCTCTATCATCTCAAACTTCAAGTGAAACAACACTGGTCTATTGTCTGATTGCTAATTGATGATTAGGGTTTGCTTTTGTCTTCTATGAAATGACAGCTATTGTGTATGATAAAGCCTAAGAATTTCCTTCTTAATTCAAAAATGAAGTTGGTTTGAATGTGTTAAAGACAAACTCAGTTACCAATAATACATCAGGGTTGAATTAAGGGAAGAAATTAAACCCTTCCTCTTGGTGTCATTTAACCAAGGGTGAATGCACATTTGATTCCTCTACTTCCCTTATTGGTATCTTTAATCCTCTTCTGTCTATTGAACAAGACTTAATTTGTTCCTGCCTAAATGCTGTCTTGTGAATCTGTCCTTGTGTCTGCTTCTGTCCGTCTGAAAGGTTTTTGTCTGTATTTATGGAGCAGCACAGAAAGCAACACATGGGGGGAAAGGATGAGGGATACTTTACAGAAATCTTTCACTGGCTCCAATAGACTCAGATAACAAATAGTATTACAAACATCATCATTTATCAAGCAATATCTTTATGTTGCTTTCAACATTTATGGTGGATATTCATTTTATAATACCACCTTCAGCCTGTATTTTCTGTTTTTAGCAATTGATTATCATAACACATGTACAAATAAGCATACATTTCTCGAGTCAGGGCATGGAAGGGTCCTGGATATGTCCCTTCATTGTCTCAGGAACTCATGAATACATAATAACTCAGTGTTCCCACTCCTTTTTTTAAAGGCTAACTACCCAGGCTCAGGGGTGCACACCTTTAATCCCAGCATTTGGGAGGCAAAAGCAGGCAGATATCTGTGCATCCGAGGCCAGTCTGATCTTTGGAGATTTCTAGCACATTCAGGTCCACATAGTGAGACCCTGTCTCAAAGTCAGTAAATAAGTAAATAAGACAACTATACTGGCATGCATTGGCTTTTGTCTTCATTAAAATTAGACTATGTTGAAAACTGGTAAGGATAAACCATTTGTAGTGTATATGTTTTGATCATCAATATTGCAAGAGATATTCTCTCAAGCAAGAGCAGTAAACCATGAGTTTCTCAAAAAGAGTTCTTGAAGCTGGTGAATAATGAGTGTGATGAGCTAGGGACTCCAGCAGATGCTCAGACCTGGTGACTGGCCGAATCCTCAGGGTGATGCTTCCGTGTTAGTTTCATTTTACAATTGAACAGTTGCTCAAGGTAACTGCAAAACTCACCCCTGCCTCTTGTTATCAGCCAGCAAGGGCCAGAGCCAGCTCTACTATGACCACAACCACCATAGCCATCAGGGTGGCTCTCACTCTTGCCTTTTGATGTCACTTTTTCTCTAGTGTCTGGTAGAGAAGTCAAGCCTGTAGCTCAGGAGACAGATTTCCTCTTTGGAAATTGGCCTTTGTTGTTGTTGTTGTTATTTGTTTGTTTTGTTTTGTTTAGAAACTTGTTTCCTGTTTTGTCTCATAAGTTTCTCTCTACTTGGCTAATTAAAATGGAGAGCAAGAGCTGCTTCTCCTGGCCTACAGCCCCAGCTTTGCCCACCTGAATTACACACAGAGCCCTGGTCACTCAGGTAGCTTCAGCTTCCATTACATCTAAGACTCAGAGAGGCCAAGGAGCTAGTTTCTCTCACTCTGATTTCTATAGATAACTAACTTTTATAATAACTCTTACAATTTGAAAATTCACAATTACAGTTTTTGAAGTAAATCAATTATGTATATTAACTACCAAAGCAACTTGACCATTTCTTGTTCAGTCCACTATAATAATCCATAATAATCCTATTTCCATTTTGTTTTCTTTTTTAATGCATCTAAAATTTCTTTTTTTCTTTTCATGCTACAGCAGTATTTTGACTGGTATGTACCTGTTCTTTCTTTGTAACCCTTGACAATCTTTATTTCCTAAATGGAGTTAGAGCAGTCATGGTACTGAGACATCTTGAGACTCAGAAGACAGAAATGAACACTCCAAAAAAAGAAAAAAAAAACACAATATAACTTTAAATATACTGAATGGAATTTTAGTCAGTGGTTTTGAAATTTTTTCTATATTTTTACTATTATTTCTGGAGGGACATCATTTACTTATTTACACCCTTATGAAACACCTATAGAATAGATGCATATAATTATTGCTTTAAATAAATATATTAACATTTAAATAATACTGAAAACTTTGTTACACAAAATAGTATATATATATAAGTATTTCTTTAGTGTTACTAGTTCTCTACATAAGAGATTTCCTACTTAAAGGTGAAGCTGAAAACTTTCATCAATGGTTTCACTTAGGTATGTGAGGGTGTCTCCATGAGGCTACAGATGTACTGTTTATCTACAGCTGAAGCATGCAGCTTTTTGCTCTCTGACTGGCTCTTTGTTGTTTTGCAGGTATGGCCCACAATCACTAGATGCTCTAGTGTGGGTCATAGGGAGGACTGTAAGTACAGATCTACAGGTTATGGAGGTACGTACTGAAAGTATCAGGAAGTACAATGATATTTGGGAAGCACTTGATGTAATTTGACTTGTTGAAATTAAAAATCATATACTTACCTAAATCATCCATCTCACTCTATGCTTAGTATTATTGGTATTGTATTAGCCTGGTTTCTCTAAAGGAACAAAACTGACAGAATTTTACATCATTCTCTCTCTCTCTCTGTCTCTCTCTGTCTCTCTCTGTCTCTGTCTCTGTCTCTGTCTCTCTCTCTCTCCCCTCTCTCTCCGCCTCTCTCTCTGTCTCTCTCTGTCTCTCTCTGTCTCTCTCTCTGTCTCTC